CCGCAGGGCCACCCGATCCGACGAGCCCAAGCTTGGGCAACACCGTCAGTCTCGGCAACATGAACGAGGTTCTGAAACTTATCTCAGATCTTGGCATCCCAGTTATAGCACACTCCCTTGTGGCAGAACCTTGAACCCCGTACACATTCTAAACATAGGTGAGATTTACTATTGGGGTTCCAACCCAGGAGCTCCAGATTCCCGCAAGACTGAGTCGACTCTTGCGGTGACATTTTTGTCATTTTAGCTACACTAAAAAATGAACAAAGCACGCATGAGTGGGACAAAATTACAGTTGAAACTGACACAATGAAGCCCTACAAAAGTAGTCAAATGCATTACCGATTTTTGTGTGTGCAGTACAAAAAGGACCTGGGGCCCCTAATAATAAAAATGTTATCCTACCATATATCATGGCTTACTGTTACCAACTGTCACAGAAGGAGTACCTCTGAAAACTGTTGAAAAACTGCTGACTGAACCACACTGTTTTGCTACGATGCACACAAGGCGCTGAGAAAACAGAAAGTGAACATAACGAAAGATGGTGCTGACCTCTTGACCTTGGTCACATGTTAGGCAACCACATGGAAGAAAATCTTGAGGTCATGGGGCTTCCCTGACCTAGATTTCTCTGTCATTTTGACTGACCGGAGTCTATGGTGGGTAATTGAACGTAGTGAATTGTTGGGTAATAAAAAGCAGAAACAAAAAATCATTTTTCAGTCATAGTATTATGAAGTTCCCCATCTTGATTCTCTGGCAAAGATTTGTGGGTAAACTATGACATCATAGGCACTGTAGTTAAAAATTAAGAGCATGATTTCATCTATAACTTGAGAAATACTGATGCTAATTAGCTCAAATTTCCAATGTTATCTCCAGTACATATTGATAATGAGAATTAGAATGTTGAAAAAACACAAAAAGTAATGATATTCTCAATTTAAACAGAGCACAATCAAACAGTGGCAAAAGTTGCAGAAACCAGGCAGATGTGCAACCAATGTGACCAATGTGCAACTGGCTCAGGCAAAAGATGACTCTGTGTCAAGAATTTCATTGGGGACCCAACAAGTCACTGCCCAATAGACAGTAGAGGACATTTTATACCCTCCTCCCTCCCCCACCAAGACCAAATATGTTTATTTACTGGCCGATAGAACACACTTATCAAATATAAATAGTTTCCAAGGCTATAGCATATAGTGAAATGTACATAAACTATTATCAATAGATATTAAAATCTTGTTTATTCATAGTATAATGCATATTATCATTGTATCTCTGCAACTCTCATTGAAATAGTAGTTCATATACATTAATTTACTAAAATTAAATATTCTCTGTAAACCATGATTTCTACAGTATATGTATCTTTAGCTTGAGAGTCATTGTCTTACTATATGCGTGTGAGTGTATATGCATGTCTGTTTTAACCGCTGTTGGATTTTGGTTTAAATATGTGCATATTTAGTACCTAATTATGCATAGTAATTTTCATCAGATCTTACAAACTGTTAACATATTGTAATGACAGTTTGCATACCCGGAATATACAAAGGCACACAAAGATCACTCCAGAATTAAATTTCTGTCTGAACGTGTACAAGTCCTTGAAATATTTATAATTGGAATGGCATACATGCATATATAGTATTTCATAATTTAATTTAATTTAATTTAGAAGGTAAATGTATCCCAAAATTATGAAGGGTGATGACATGAAACAACTATGAATGAGACTAGACTTGCTGATAACAAATGCATCCAATCTGTGAAGAACAGGAAAATATTTAAAAAAAGTTTTTTTTTTTCAATTACTAGTACTGCTAATATATACATGTACCTATTATTACATGTGTTGTGAATGATTTATAGAACATCAAATCACGAAACTTGATATGAAAATAAATCAATGATTTGAGGATATACATATAAGAAGTCACAACTGCTTCAAGATCTCATATGTCAGTGTATTTACATTCTGTACTATGAAAATAGAAGTCTATGAACTTATATATTAAGTATTATACATCACAGTTACAGTGTACTGTACCTGCATCTATTCTATTAGGAAATTCTAGTGTCAAATATGAAATGATCATGTAATATTTCCAAGAGCAGAAAAAAGTTTATATCAAAATAATTTTACCCAGTACGAAACAGATTAGGAAGATGAACAATAATAATGCTATTATGAACACACTGAAGTATTCACTCAGTCAGAAAACAGTTGCATTGAACTACATGTTAGTTGACACTGTCTTCGTGCATATTTTGTGCCATCCTCATGATAACCTATTACTTAATCTACATAATCCAACAATCCGATTTGCATAGAAATATATGCATGAAATCTGTAAATGCTATGAGTAAATAAAAACAAAGACAATGAATACTCATAATTTAGAAAATATCAAGAAAAATACTATATTACATACACTGTTATGACAGTGATAACATTAAAAATTTATCAGAAACCCATTATCAAAGCTTGCTGTAATATAACAGTCATGGTTATATTACCAATTGTTCTGTTGATTCGTTTATTGCTCCACATAATATTTCTATCTTTATGCTAAATGTGAATAGGCCACACTTGTACTCATTTGCATAATTTGTAAACCGACACTGTCTTAGCTACATAACTAACAATTTTTGTAAACTGCTATGGCACATCAGACCATGCACCTTGGCTACACATATAAACCCATAGTTTTAGCCAGTTTTGTAAATTGCACTCAGGCTAGCACCCATGTGCAATTTACTTAACTGTGATCAAAATTGTGGGTTTATGTCTGTAAACACACACTTCCTTGAGTTCTTCCACAAGAAAGGAAGTAATCAAACTAAAATGCACTATTTGTCAGCACTAGCACTTGCAATTTG